ACACTGGAATACACTGTTTCGACTAGAAAGCGCCTTGTGCGTATGTCTAAGGAGATGGTATTCTTTCCAAAATTGCAGCCAGTTCCCACGAGAGAGCTGTATTCTTGGCTTGAAAGATATTTTTGTTCTCAAAATCATTACGTTTTACACGCAAGCCATCTCAGCAGAGCCACATATGTTGTCCTTTAAAAAAATATATTTGTGTTTAGTAATTGTCAATAATGACTGCTTTGTGTTTTGGAATATGTGGATTCTCTAAAGATCCTGCTGTAAATTAATTGTACAGAAATACCTGCTTGAATGGAGATTGCAGTTTTCCTTTATTGAAAATAGAAGAAACTGTTGATGGAATATACACAGACGTGCTTTTTTGGAAATTTTGTATTTTGCATATAAAATGTATAAACCTGTTTCTTGCACAAAAAATTGTAAAGAAGGAAGGAAATAAAAGGATCTGAACTTTGTGTTTTAAAGCCATACTTTCCCTTCCCAGGTGTGCGACAAAGAATGGCATCACTACGTCCTCAACGTTGAATTTCCAACAGTGACACTCTATGTAGATGGGGTTTCATATGACCCTTTCCCAGTGACTGAGGATTACCCACTTCATCCTTCCAAGATAGAAACTCAGCTGGTTGTTGGAGCTTGTTGGCAAGGTAACCATTTACATGATTTAATTTCTCAAATCTGAGGGGCTGTGTGGGAAATATGCGACTAATTTCTAGAGAACAATGGAAAGTGTTTCTACCGCTTTTCCTTTTGGCCCTGGTGCCATCATATATTTCCTCCATTTCAACTTAGGCCCTTTTTAAAGTGCTTTGTACTTCTTGCCTGCAGGTGTGTATGAAATACGAGACTACTTGTAGAAATGCCAGGCAGCATTCCACTGCAAAGTGATTTTGTGATAATTGTTGGAACACAGTCCATTTTATAGTTCTCTTGAGTAATTTTACTCTGACAATTACTAGGCGTTACCTTTGCCACAAAGAAGTTAGAAAGCAGATTTCAGAAACACTAAGCACTTGCACTTTGCTGTATTTCTGTTTATGGGAATTCAGCTAAATAACACATTAATGCTGTCTCTTGAGGATTTTACCACTTGTGGTTATAAAAAAATAAATAAAAAAGCAGTTTTAGTATATGCAAACTAGGCTGAAATTGATTCTCTGCAAGCTGCATACTGCTGATTCACAACTTCTGATACTGATGAAGCTTACTCATCAAAAGCTTGAGAAAATGGAGCAGGCTTCATCTGAACATGGAACAGTGGTAGTGTTACCAAAGCTCTCTGCACTATAGCGCTGCGTTGATTATGCAGTTTTGTGTTAAAACATTTTGGTTGCAGATCATATTACCTGCTAGTTGGAAAATGGCTGATCCAGCTACAATCCTTTGGCCTTCTTATAAACAATACTTTTCAAGTGGAACAAACATTAAATCTGTATTTTATTATAGTTTTGGGAGCGGATATACTATATGCAGCCTGCAATAAGGAGTAAATGTAGCTTATGAAGGAAGGCAAATGACTAACTTCAGGGTGATGTCATGAAACTAACAGTTTTGTGTCTCATTGGGCTTTTCTTTTTGAGATCTGAGGTCTTGGCGGGGTGAGGGGGGGAAAGAGAGAGAGTCCAATTGCCAAAAAATCTTGTGAGGAAGTCTTTCTTTCAAGTACCTCATAACCTGCAAAATTCACTGACTTGCAGCCAGTCTCCTAGGCATGGGTATGAATTAGCAGGGTTCCACTGTATTGCATTTATCATTCTGTGGATGACTCTTAGGTTATCCCTTCTGGCCACAGAGTTGCAGGGAGCAGCTTCCTTGAGAGCTGCATGTGTTAGGTATGACAGGAAATAATATTTCTGCTCCAAGTTTTATGGGACATCCAAGGCTTCCATATATACACTTGTATCTTAACCCAAGCACGATCTTTTTACCTGCAAATATTGTACTTCATATATCTCTACATGGTGGTTCCCCTAGTGATGTGCACAGGCACCATTGTACAATCCTTTAATTTCTCATTTCCAATAGGTCTGTTGCCAAAAAACTAAACTTGCAGCAGGACTATTAAAACACTGCAACTCTGTGATTTCAGGATCTATCTTAGCAATTTTATTCAGAAAAACTATTTTACAATGATTAACTGGATCAAAGAAAAAAGCCTCATTGCCCTCAGACTCGAACCTTGAAAAACAATATTTTTGCCATATTAAGCTAAAATCAAGCTGCTCTGCAGTATAGAGAAGATTTGAACTGTTCTCTCTTGAATTTTTTATGCTTCTTAAATGCTCTTCATTGTTTTCTCTTTATTGTTTAAAAAGCTTCCATGTTAAAAATTGACCAATTGGTACATGTAATACTGTTGATTTCATCTAAATTATATGTCAGTAACAGCTCCTTTGATCTGTCCCATAATTCATTTTTTCTTTCGGGGGGGACTCTGTTAATACAGACTGGGTCAGATTTTATTTTCCCCTTCAGCCATCTAAAGATAAAGGTGCAAAGGATGCAAGGTGCCAGGCTTTTGCTGCATTACCAGCAGTGATTTACATGGGACTTAATATTTGAAACTAAAACTGATTATACATTATTAATGTTGCCATTTTAGCTTCATATTATGCAAAGGGCTGTTCACGGATTTCTGTCATGAATACAGCAAACAGCGCTCTTCCCCTGAAATCCAGCTAATACGTTCAGTTAGCATTTCAGAGGGATTATAACAACTGTGAAAAGTTGGGTGAAACAGAAACAGAGTGGGCTGGTTAAAGGGTTTATAGGAAAGTGGTTTTGTTGATCTTTGTGTGGCATAACAAGGATCATTTGCCAGACCCTAACGACTTGGTCCCTTCCCCATTGTCCCTATTCTTTGTCTTGCTTTTCTACAGAAAATACAGGAAATGAAAATGACAATGAAACTGTGCCCGAGACCTCTGCAGGTTGCTGGAGTTTTTTTCCCCTTCTGTTTTTTTTTTTTTAATATCACTTTTAAGCCAAGACATTGCTTCATCTCACACATAGCATGAAATGCAGGCATTGCGTTTTGGCCATTGACCCCCACATAATCTGCTTTTGGGCTTTTCTCCATCGTGCTTTTATTTCTACTGCTTCACCGCCTGATTTTATTTTTATTGCACACAAGTGCACATCCATGTACAGACCTTAAACCATTGTGATTGCAGTGAAGTGGTGTATAATGAGCTATTAATGCAAAGCATTAGCTACACTTTTTATTCACTCAGTGTTGTTCAAGCATCATTGCATGCAGTCTTATATTTGATCCAAAGGACCAGGTATCTTGAGATTAGCTAGAATTCCCGGTGGATGTTTACTTGACCACGTGTTGATAAAATACCAGTTGTATCCAGTAGCAGTAAGGGTCAGCTCTTGTTCCCATGTACACTAGTTCAGCGTTTCTCAACCCGTGGGTCATGACCCAAAAGTGGGTCACAAGCATATATGGTAGGGTCGCAAACAAACTTTAAAAATGGATTCTCTTTTAAAGGAGAAAAATGTGGGAAACTGTGGCTCTTCTCTTACAGACTGGCAGAGTTCCAACTTGCATGGGTCCGCTTCCCACACTCCACTGCCCCACACACCGGGGGGGGGGCTGGCAGTGGGTCAGGAGGGAGGGGCACTGTGTCGGGACCGGCCATTGATGTTTACAAATGGGTCCTGGCACAAAAATGGTTGAGAACCACTGCACTAATTCATCTGACATGGCAGGGTTTTATCTTTATATTACATAGCTTAAATGGTGGTTCTCTGGCTTTCATGTCTTAGCTTGAGAGATTTCATGTTTCTGCATATTTCTGAGGGAGTGTGTTTAGGATTCTTATTGGTTCTGAACAGTTTTTGAAGATTTTTAATAACAGATGACTTAATTTGGCAAACAAAACCATAACATGGTCCAGTGGCTGAAAGTTGGAGCTAGACTCATCTAAACTGTAAAAAGATGCAAATTTTTAACAGTGCATTTAATTATAGCAACCAATTCCTGAGGGTTGTAGTTTATTTTCCGTCATATGGACTCTTTAAATTGAAATTGAATGGCTTTAGCTTAATTAGCGATGAGCTTAAAAGACTGGTTGAAATTCTGTGGCTCATATTAAACAGGAAGATAGACTAGATGATCATGATGATGCCACCTGGCCACAAAATCCATCATACTTGCTGTGCCCTGAATTGTATTTGGATATACTTCCCTCCTACCCCGTAGGCTTCTGCTAATTTTCCAGAGTTAATGACAAATGGAGATGTTGCATGAGCATTCAGAAGTCTTGTTACAGGTCTCTCAAACTTGAGCCTTGGTCTCCTTTAAGAACACCACCTCGCTGTATGGGCAAAAATGGCATTTGTGATGGAAACGTTAGCCTCAGCTTCACAGTTCAGGATGGCCACGTGTACTCTGAAGGCCATGTGCATGATGAACTGTTTAATTCTTTCTTTATGCTTGAACATAATCACAAGGGTAACACAAGGGATATATACTAACCTGCATGACATACGTTATGGTCCAGCCAAGCACAGTTGATAAAAAGAAAAGGACCAAGGCCTGTAAAGCTTGATTTTTCTTTTTTTCCTTCCTCCCCGCCCCTTCCATTTTATAGGTGGTGAACTCCACATGGCTCAGTTTTTCCGAGGCAATCTGGCTGGGTTAATGATACGTTCTGGTAAACTTGAGAACAAGAAGGTAATAGACTGCCTCTATACTTGCAAGGAAGGACTGGATTTACAAACTGCAGATGGCATTGGCAAAGGCATGAAGGTAAAGTGGCATATAGATTAAGTGAAGTGCATCTGCTGCGATTTCTTAAGAAAAGGTTATCTGATAATAGGTGAGGCTTTTACTGATACAGCTTATTCAGTCTACCAACCAGAAAAAGCTGCACTTGGGGGAAAAAGCTGTCTTTCATCAGTGTATCTGCATCCATGCCACAACTTTAGCCCGTATAAAACTGACCTGAAAATCAGACCCCTAAATAACTTACTTGCACCAGCCATCCTTTTTGGTACATACCTGGCTTTGATGAGCCTTGAAAATGTGGATGGCTGCATAAGTGCTAAACATATATTTGACTTCTAGGGTAATTACTGAAAACTATAGGCCTAACGTACTTGTAGTTCAGTAAGGCTGTGAAAAAAAGCTTAGTTTCCTCACTTGCTAGCTTGATCTCTTTCAGTGTTGTGCCAAGCTCATAGGATTTTCTTTGGATAGTGAAATACTCTAAACGTTTGACCTACCTTTTTGGGCTAATTGGGAAGTTAAACAGTGACTTGCACAGCCATTGAATAATGAACCTTTTTGCTTTGCATATAAATGCTGATTATCCAATACTTGGCAATTTAAGTAGTCCTAAACTTGGTGTGTTAATTAATTTAGCACATTAGCATTTGGAACTTTTTTTCTTTTTTTCCCCTCCCATATTCTGGAATGCTTTTTTAGATCCATATGAACCCCAGCCAGTCAACAGTGACATTGGAAGGGGATGATATTGAGAAGTTTGACAAGGCCATGCAGCATATTTCCTACCTGAATTCCCGCCAGTTCCCAACACCTGGAATCCGGAGGCTCAAAATCACCAGCACAGTCAAGTAGGTCCTATTTTAAATAACTGATACAGCACAGTCAAATAGGTCCTATTTTAAATAAATGAAACTGTACTTCATGATGCTGCAGCTGGAAGAAAGGCACCGTTACACTCCAAGTGCATTGGCCTAATTGAATCTCACTGATCATTAACTTCAGACCCTTTTGTAAAGCTTGCAGGGGTCACTTATGCAGGCCTTTGTTTTTGAAAGCCTTGATCTAGTGCCTGGAGCATTGAGGGGAATGGAACCATCAATTTCAATGAACTTTGGTTAAGTTTTTAAGCCAGTGACTCTTTCAGGGTTTGTTCTGTTGTACAGAGAAGCTGATTTCTCTCCTTGAACTGTTGATTGGATGTTGTACTGTAGAAGGGGGTCTGATCCATGGATCAGCAACCACTGTTCTAATTATCAAAGCAGACATTTGATACCAAGTACCTAGCTGTTCCTGCAGTTTGGGCATCTGCAGCTCGCATTTCAGTTATAGGAAATGCCTTGAATAATGTGATTTCTAGAAAGGATCTTTTTGCTGTAAATAATAGCCTTAAGGGCCTGAAATTCATGCATATTTACTTGGATTGCTGTGAAAATGTCTTCAGATTTGGTTTTGGAAGGTTTTGAAGTTGTTGGTTGAGAGGGTTTACCACGGGCAAACTGGAAAACAATAGCTTTAAAATTTTCTACCCTGAATTTGTTCTTCCGAGCGCTGTGTGTTGACAGGAATGCGCGCTGATTCTTAGGGTGCACTAGTGGGCACCATAGGCCACTGCTGCAGATAGTGGTTGCCAAAAAGCACCTGTGTGAGACAGCTGATTAAAAGGAAGTGATAGGTTATTTGGACACTTGAACGTGGCTTTTGTCAGACTTGGCAGTGCTGTTTTGCAGAGCTTCATCTGAAATTTCTCAGTGGGTTTGAATTTCCTGGCTTCCCACTCAAGTGTTGTTTGACTATATCCCAAAGCAACACTTGGAATATCCTGATTTAAAGATATGAAGTCTTCCTAAGCAAAGTATCACTTTGTAATTCCCGGCTGCACTTGCTTCTGGTGCAGAACTAAGTCCTACATAGTGCAGTGTCAGACCTTCCACGTTTTCATGAAACTGGAAAGGCACTGTCACTATCTTCTTAATAATTTAGCTTTTCCCAGCCTTGTTATTAGGCATGGCAGCCATTGTTTCCCGTTTCATTTATTCTTCCTGCTGTGTTGATCTGGCATTCGTTGTTTCTTTAAGAGCTAGTGTGATCTTAATCCAGAAGTGCAGGAGTGGGGAGGCTCTTTGGTGCAAACGTTATACTGTAAGGATGTCTCCAGGATTGCAGCCTGCCTTGCTGGCATTATCTGTGGCTGTTAGTCATAGCCCAGAAAATGGGGCAAGATGTCATCAGTGAGCAAAGAATTCATTTTAACATTTTTCTGTCTCTGGGGGATACCCATCTTTACACTCTACACAATTGATGGTTTCATTACAGCACCCTTGGGTCTGAGAGAGTGTATTTAATTACATGGTTGCTATGTTCTTTGTATATTAACTGTTTGATGCCACTATAGTATATTGATACCGCCCATAAATCATGCTTGTTTTTAGCACTACACAACAGCTTTTGTATCTTGTAGGTGTTTCAATGAAGAGGCCTGTATCTCCATCCCTTTTGTGGAGGGGTATGTAATGGTCTTGCAGCCTGAGGAACCCAAGATCAGCTTGAGTGGCATTAACCACTTTGCCCGCTCTGCCTCAGAGTTTGAGAGTCCTGAGGGTGTTTCCCTCTTCCCTGAACTTCGCATAATCAGCACAATCACTCGGGAAGTGGAGCCAGAAGGAGATGGAGATGAAGATCCTACAGGTAACAGACTCGCTTGCTTACTCATCAGGTTCTGGATGGTTTCCCCACAAGGATCTTTGCAGTGACGGGGGTTCCCTCATGCATGGGTATCCCCATCCCAGTGCAGCTGCATTTATGGCACTGTTTGCTTCCCTCTTTCAGTATCACAGTAGAGGAATGGGCAGGCAGGCCTGTGGAGAGAGTGGATATGTAGAGCCTCAGTCGGAAATAAGAACAGGCTTAGACTGATCTTCTCCAAGGATTTTTTTTGTATGGAATTTCTTAAATGGGGATTTTTGTGCCCAAATCTTTTTACGTTTTCCGAAGGGAAGAACTTTCCTTGAATATGACATTACAGCTCCTATTCCATCCTTTCTACCTTTGACTTTTCTCTTATTGTAACTGGCTTTTTCTTGCGTTTCAGTCCAAGAATCTTTAGTGTCTGAAGAGATCATGCACAACTTGGATACATGCGAGGTCACAGTGCTGGGAGAGGAGTTAAATCAGGAACAAGAAAGCTTGGAGGTTGATATGACCCGATTACAGCAGAAAGGCATTGAGATGAGCAGTTCAAACCTTGGCATGATCATCACTGGTAAGGGACTGCGACCTTTGGCTTTGTGTAAGGAAGTCACTAATGATAATGACACCTGTGATTTTTTGTGCTTATTAAATATTCACCTTATAAGGCTTTACCTCGGGGGAGTCTTGTTTAGTAAAAAAATGGAGTTTGAACCCAAAACTGTTGTCTGAAAAACCTGTACATTTGTTCTTTTTGCAAATCCTGGTTCTAGCAAAGCTCTGAAAAATGCAGAAAGCAGGATTTCCCCTCCAATCTGCTACCTCATCCCAAATTTCCAGTCAGCTTGCAGACCTGAAGAACATAGTGCCACTAAAGAAAAAGCTTGCTTGTCTTGTGGATAACCCCATGACCTAGTGCATACATTGGTTCTTTTCTTTTGAAGACTGATTTTGACAAGCTGTCAGTGGTCAGGGGTTAGAAAAAATAATGTAATTGTAATGAAGATGCAGGTGTCAACAAGGAAAATCATTTTATGAATCCCACAACAGTACTCATGGCACAAACAGGGAAATAAAGTTACGTGTGTGAAAATTTTATCATCCTTGTATTCAAACTCTGAAAAAACAATCTACTTTTGTAACAAAGAGCTGCTGCTTTTTCCCTCCAGGGGTTGATACAATGGCCAGCTATGAGGAGGTTTTGCATTTGATACGCTACCGAAACTGGCACACCGTCTCCCTCTTTGACAGAAAGTTCAAGTTGGTCTGCTCTGAGCTAAATGGACGCTATGTCAGCAATGAATTCAAAGTGGAGGTATGTGAGTTGATCTCATCTTTTCAGAGGTTGTCAGGAACCTGCGTATTTGAAATTTGCTTTAAAACTGTTATTGGTAACTGCTTTTGTTTCTGCCCTGTAAATAATTAAGTCGTGTCCCTGAGACCTGGCATTCATCAGCCTGTATTGTAAGGAAGCTGTTCCAGTTTCCTTAGGGTGAGGAGGGTTTTGAACATGTCACCCACTAATCTAAGTGTGGTTAAGTGTTCAAGTGCTATTGGTGGGCATTGCTCTCCATTGCTGTCAAGCTTAACTCAGAGTATGTTAGTTCTTTGTGTGCCTACATGTGAAGGCCTCTCCAGGGGCTGAGGCACAGCTTAGTAACAGTTTGAATGTCAGTAGAGCTTAGGGAGGACCTAGGCACTGTGATGCAACTTTTAAGTCCACCAGGCAAATCCCTACTGAGCAGGGTGGATACAAATCAATGATTAAAAAATAATAATAATAAAATTTGATGTTTTTAATTTACATCAGATTTCTTTGATTTAATCATGTTGTAATTTTTTTTTAAGATGCGTTAAAAAATAAAACACCTATATAAAGGTAGTTTTAATTTAAGATGCGTTAAAGCTCAAAGATATCATCATGGAATATGAATTGTAACTTTGAGATGATATATCCATGTAATTTGTTTTAGAAAAGTTTTATAAATAGGTCACAACAGGCCATGGACTATATTAGGGGCTGAATCTTATATAGTTCCTAGAGTCTCCTCTTTAGATTAGTAAAGATTAAAGAGAACCATTCTACCCAGTGGGACTCAGCGCTCAGTCTAGATTAAGATCGCATTAAGCATCTCTGTGATGCTTAGTTTCAGTTCTGAAACTGTGTATTGGTGTCTCCAGAGATGACATCCTTGTTAACAGCAGTATATGGAGATGAAAGATAATAACCTTATTACCCACCCATCATCCCTGTTGTCTCTCTGCAAGTCCTTACTGCTCTCTAAAAGTGCAGTTTCAAGAAGTTAAATGAATAAAGGCCTATCAAACAACAAGAATGCACTTTTTGTAGATGACAATGATTAAATCCAGGCTTCCTGACCAGAGATTTAAATGGATTTGATTCAAATCAAATCCACCCTGTTCCTGAGCATGTACAGGAACACAGAAGAGAGGTTTCTAGTGAGTTTGGCTCTGGGCTAATCTGAATTGCTGTTTGGACCTTAAGCAGCTAAGCCCTGCTATACATCCTAGTTAGGTGACTAAGGAACTAATAAAAATCTAGCTCTGAAGCATTACTTTCTACTTTGCATAATACAGAGATTGATCTAAAACACTAATGCTGACTGTAGGAGAAAGATTTAAAGAAAGAAGTATATTGCCCTGCATGCTTTCACTGGAAAGGAAGAGAGTAATGTGGCTAAAATTGCATTCCATCTGCAGAAGAATCTAATTAATGACTTTTCTTGATGTGAACTTCAAAGTTAGTTAACCCTCAGTCTTTGCCAGGCTTTGATGTACATTTACATCAATCAGTACTTGAGGGATAATAAAGTTGTGACGTTTTGCTGTAGCATGAAGCCATTTATTTATATGTATTGTTGCCACTGTAATGGATCTATTTTGTAATTATGCCCTTGAATTGTCAGGCTAACTTTTTATTTATTTATTTATTTTTAAGTACAGCTTATTAGCATGATTGGCTAATCGGCATTTGTTTCTTAAAGTACTGTAAACACTGAGGCAAGCTCCCTCCAACTTTCAAACTGGCAAAGTTGTCCTTGCCCTATGTTACACTTCCATTCCTCCTGCTGTGCAGCTGGTCACAAACCACATCATGCTCCAGCACCAAGGGGGACTCATTAAGTTATGCATAGGATGGGAGTGGTCACCAAAACATGAAACTTGCTTGCAGCTGAGCCTGTCTAAATGAAAGAATCTCTTTTGGGACCTGTGTTTAAACTTCTGAAATGTGGTATCTGGCACTTCAAAGTACCTCAACGTCTTCTGCCTTGTCTGTCATGTGGATTTACCCATCACTGTTAGCTAAAGTTTGGTCTATACAGACATGTGGTGAAATAACAAAATAGATGAATGAGAAATAATGTAACCATTTCAGTATGTTCTTGTTAGCTTTCTTATTCTGAAATAATGGTGTCTGCACACTGATTTGTACCTATAACCAGATACAGTTTAGGAAATCAAATGCGATTTATGGAAGGGGCATGTACCAACTCTACAGCCAGAGCATATCTATTTGACCAAGTGCCTAGGCAAGCTATTCTTTTTCCCTAGTTTGACGTTTTCCCTTTGTTCTCAGGTGAATGTTATCCACACAGCTAACCCAGTTGAACATGCTAATCATATAGCTGCCCAACCACAGTTTGTCCACCCAGTGCATCATACGTTTGTTGATCTCTCGGGTCACAACCTAGCTAACCCCCACCCGTTTTCAGGTAAGAAAATCACTTACCACCATTGCTAAACAACCGGGTGACTTCTTGCTGCAAAGCATTCAATTGCTTCAGATTCTTGTCTGGAGACGGGCAGCATATTAAACTAATCTTCCTTCCAGCTGAGATGAACAGTCGGCTGGAGATTTACAAAGAGGCCAGTCCAGTGGCAGAAACAAAGTGCCTTCTCCCCTGACTGCAGCAGGATCTTTATCTGTGTGTGTAACCCAATAATTTTGGAGCTGAGATGCATATTGGTATGGGAGGGTGCAGTATACGATCCTAAAAAGAGTCTGAGGAGCTGGGAGTGGGCTTCTGAAGAATACTTTGGAAAATCTCAGCATTCTTCCCTTGAACTCGGCCATTGTCCAAAACTGAGTGATGGTTCCCCTTGCATGGTTTTTCAGCAGCCTTTAGAAACCCTACTAGTACTAACTAAAGTTGGGTATAATGGAGCTGATTTTATTCTGCCAGTCCTACTCATTTCTAGCCCTGTGAGCATAGGTGCGACTTTCTGCCTCTTGAAGAGATGCTGCTAGCCATAGTGAAATGACGTATTCGCTTTTTTGTGAACATTTGTTCATTGGACTGGATTAATGGCACCAACTTCCCTTGTGACTTGAGCTAGATATAAATCTGGTGCTCTGAATTGTGCTGTCAACAGAAAAACATGATGAGCTGAGTGGGAGCCAGGAACTTCTTGGCCCCAGTCCTTACTCTCCCACTGACTAAGTTTTAGTCTGCCTCCATTTACCATCTGTAAAATGGGGGTTATGCTTATCCACTTCCTGTTGTGGGCAGGGAATGAGACTTCCTTAATGTTTGGAAAGCTCTTTGTAAGTGCAGCATGTTAGCATGACTGGTTATTCTAAAACGGTCCTTCTCTCATCTTGTTACAGTTGTCCCAAGTACTGCGACTGTTGTGATCGTGGTTTGTGTGAGTTTCCTGGTTTTCATGATTATCCTGGGAGTCTTCCGAATCCGGGCTGCGCATCAGAGAACGATGCGTGACCAGGATACTGGAAAAGAAAACGAGATGGATTGGGATGACTCTGCCTTGACCATCACTGTGAACCCCATGGAGGTAAGGCTTGCGTCTTGGCGTTTTCTTAAAATGCCGCTTTCCAGGCTGTAAAATATTCAGCTATGGCAGTCACGCTTCTGCAAAGGGTCACTGAAGAGAGCAAATCGCAGAACATGGGATAGGTTGGGAGATGCAAACTTCGACAATTTGTTTAACTAGGCCCAGGAAAATATGAATCAATTCCTTGGACCGACTAGCCATCATGGCACTTAGATTTGTGCTCTTAAGTGAGGCGTGGCTTTGTGGTAGACAGCTGCTCAAAGGAGGACCCGTAGATTATGCCAGGCCAGTAATGGGTCTGAGTGGCTGATTCAATGAGTGAGTTACGCCAAACTCCACACCACATTAGCTTTTCCATTAAGCTGTTGGCATAGTTCATTCCCAGTTGATGCAGGTTGATACTTTGATGTAGAAAAGCAGGAAACGAGATTTTAAACAGTTAATGTTGCTGTGTGTTGACATCCAAGGATCCTTTTTTCAGTAGTAGCTTCTGAAGTACTGGATCACCACGGGGAACGGGTTTCTGCTAAAAAGTGGCAGGAGTGGCTGGTATCTTTATAAAAATCATAGAACCACCTCAGAGGCACTTGCTTTGCATTTTGCTAATAGCCTGCTACGTGCTGAACTTCCTCAAACTGCTCCTCTGGATAGCACCTTCTGTTTTAATGCAAAGGGGGAGGAGGAAGGTAGGCAGCTGTGAAATCAATGGCTAATTTGTGTCTAACAGACGTATGAGGACCAGCACAGCAGTGAGGAGGAAGAGGAGGAGGAGGAGGAAGAAAGCGAAGATGGTGAGGAAGAAGATGATATCACTAGTGCAGAGTCCGAAAGTAGTGAGGAGGAAGAAGGGGAGCAGGAAGAGGACCAACAGAATGTTAACAGACAGCAACAGCTGGAATGGGACGACTCTACCCTCAGCTATTGATTCCAGCTGTTCCCTTTGTCTTTGTTCCTGCTCAAGAAGACTCCACTGTAATCCACTCCATTGTTCCTAAGGATCCATGGTGTAAAAAAAAAAGTCATTTGGCCAGTAGCTCCGACCAGCGCGCCTCCCAGTGTGTGTGTGGTATTGGCTAGTTCTAATGCTGTCTCTAGAATTGTGGTTAGCACCTCTCCTTCCTCCCCCATGCCTCAGTGACTGGATTTTTTTACACTATGTGAGGAACCACCTTGCACTTTTTCTTCATGTCATCTCAGCTAAGTGACTCTGCAGATCTGTAGCCATTGCACACAAGTCTCTGGACTGTCTCTTTGCCCGGTGAAGCGACTTTGGCTTTGTTCCTCTTCCTCTTTCTGACCGATGCAAAGATCACATGTTGACAAAGGGTAACATTGCTCATTTCAGCCTGGTGAATTTTATTTTTTCCCAAACTAGTGCATGTGTAAAGTGGCAGAATGAGGTTAATATGTAGAAGATTAACAGACTTTTTAATATTTTGTAAATATCTTGGAATTATGTAATTATGTCATTTGTGGTAGTGAAAACAGGGATTGGGGTTTAAAACATGCTAAAGGTAAAAATCATGAAGCATGAAGTAACACACGTCTCATAACTACTGCAGCAGGAGCATGGGCACAGTTATCTAGTGTAGATGTATTAAGTGTCATTGGCCTTGACTGCCATAATCACTCAAGCCCTGCTCTGTTGATTTTTCCCCCCTTTACTTTTGCAGAGGGAACAGACAAGCCTGTGACTTTCTGTAAAGGCTTTTCAGGATCTCTAACAGAGATTCAACTGCCCTGCCTAATACAGTTGGTCTTTGGTCCTTAACTCATTTCAGTATAAGGGTTACTGGGAAAAAGTAAAGGCTACCTGGATGTGGGGCGAGTCAGTCTGCTGCTGCTGCGCTAAGTGTTCTTGCCAGAGCCCCGGTTAATCAGCGTGGGGCTTGCTGTAGTCCAAAGCTGCTGCGCTGTTGACATTGCTGCCAGGGCAGGTTATTCACTTGAGTCTTCTCATGGTCATCAAGGCTGGAAGGCTGGAGACCCGTGTCCCTGCGCGCCTTGGCTGCCAGTCGGCGTAGATTGGGGTTTATTTTTTGGATTTTGAACTTTTCTAATTTTGGGGGTGGGAGGGTTGGGGGGGCATAGTGACTTCATTCCTTTTAGACACACTCCTGCTCATTCCCTGTAGCTCCTTGTACAGTACCATGGACCATTGGTGTACTAAGCCTTTTGTTTACACTTAGTAAATGTGTGTTCCTGCTGGTGAAATTATAGCGTACATTATCCAACCAGAAAACCTTGTGAATCAAGTTACTCTTTGTATCGAGACACAGCAGACTTTGGTTGTCGTTGATCAAAGCTCTCTAACTTGGAATTGCAAAGGACTCTTAAAGGAATGGCTGAAAGGTACGAAAAGTAAGTTATGACCCCATGGTGGTGAGGCTAGATTTTTCGTAAGGCAGGTCGTGTTCTCCATTGAACTTACTTTTGGTCCTAGTCAGAGCCTTGAATTCTGAATATCTGCTTATTTGCTTTGTCATTTGGTGGTGGTTTACAGAGCAATTTGTCTACTTGCAATATGAAACTACAGCTCCAGTTGCTCCTCATTATGGTAAGCAAAGTTCCAGATTTTGATACTAAATGTTCTCTGCCTGCTCTCTAGGTGCACAGCACATCTGCCAAAGCAGGTTAGTGGCTCAGATTTAAAATCCCATGGGGAAATGACTAAACCTGCTAAAGGAACTACCGAAGAGCTGAGTGGGAGGTGGAGGGTGGGGTGTCGGAAAACAAACAGGTAAAAGGGAAGGCAGAGCCAGCTGTTTCTAAAAGCTTGTTTCATTTACAGAGCAGACCTATTCTTACCTATTGCACATCTTGCCTCCCAGTGTTTGAAATGGGACCTAGTGGTGGGTTTTATCTGAGTAAAGCTTGACTCTGAGGAGTGCCTTTTACAATACTAGATGGACCTGAAAGCAGGGGAAGAACAGACACAATTAGCTTACTGTTTTTTAATGTAAAATTTTAGATTTCTAAAATGGGGAACCGGTTTTGATTACTTCCGTGGTAACATAACTGGTAGTTTTAAGTAAACTGGGGAACTTTTAACTTATGTCTGACAGTTGTCCTGTGTTAATGTCAATGTGTAGAAGACTTTATCCTTCCATATACTGTCACTGTAGCTGCTGTATTTTAGGACTAAAACTGATCATGATTTAATGCTAATGCTGAAAGGTTGTAAACTTTCTGATGCAGTTTGTAGCCACTGTGGGTATAACTTTTCAGATGTGTATATTGGTAATAGGTCAGTTTGGAAAGTCTATAAGCTACAATAAATTTCTGGTTCTAAAGACTGTCTGCTGTCCTTTCTTAATTCCAGTCACCACTATCAACATCTTGGAATAACTTACTGTGCAGGATAACAAACTAGCACCCAGAGGCATGGAATGACATTGCCCTGCACTAGTATACAATTTATCAAATAATATTATTTATTTTTAGACTTACAAATATGCACCTGAAGTCACAGATTAGAAGTAACTGAAGAGTCGAACATGTAAACATCTTCTCCTTCAAAAATCATGCGGGGCTTAAAAAAATAAATCATTTTTTCAAAGGCAGCAAACTAGGCACAATCAGTTCACACACAGCAAGAAGTCATGAACACCTCCCTAAATAAATAGAAGTAGTAGCAAAGTAAAGCTTATCACTGTTAAAGGATGTAACTATTTGTTGTACAAGTAGATTTATTTACAGTGGGGTCTGACTGAGTAAGCTTCAACCTACACTTCCCCTCAACTTGCTGTGGAGGAGATCAGATAAAGAGTCTGCTCTGCACCATGGGAAAGGCAATCCTGATGGACTGGGTCCAGCAGCCTGTTACTTTGCTAGACAAGATAGCAAGAGTCATTTCACTAGCCCCCAAGGAAGAAAGCCCACTCAGTTCTGATTTGTTGTAGGTAAGTGGATTTGCAGGACTGCAGCAGTGCCTTTTTAGGGCAGAGCACCTCACAAATGTTTCACTTTTTGCCTGTTCGTTGTGATGTAACTTGGTTTATTGCACTTTAAAAACAAAATAGATGCCACTGATCTGTGTTGCTCCAAACCCTTGCAAAACAGGAGTAGGGCCTGAGAGTGTAAACACATGTTTTGAAAGCCTAAACTGAAGGCAGTAGAGAGGCTGGATGAGCAGTGCATTTCAGGTCTTAATTGTTCAGGGGCTAAACCAGTAACAGGACTCCAGGTCTGACTGAAAGTGCACGGTGTACTTAGTCAGAGCTGGCAAGCACCACGCTGCTTCCTTGAACACTGAGCTATTAAGTCTGTGCACCGCGCGCTCATTCCTCAGCAAGGCAGGCCAGTTTACCGAAGACTACAACAGATACCATCCTCCCTGCTGAATATGAAACTTCAGTAATCTTTCCCAGCTACTGGGCAATTATGAAAAGCATATGTACGTCAGAGTTTGCCCATGTGATCTCTCTACTGTGGAGAAGTAACAGGCACCAGTCTGTCTGGAATCAGGCAACCATCTGGTGAAGCTTTATTAATACATCCCTGAATGGGTAGGGGCAAGGCGCTGGGAGATCTGCCACCAAAGACAATCGCCCAACAGCAAAGCCAGGCCCTCCACCTTCTTTACACAGAAACAGGCTTAATGTCTGATGCCATGAGTAAACGTTTTCCATTTAGTGCTAGTGCAGTATTTGTTCTTGCCTGGCTTTAAAAACTCACTGTGCTGCTGGCTGAAACAGTCCGTCTTGGAGCACAGCTCCAAATAAAAGCATTGTCTTGACATAGCTGAAACACTCCGCCTGCGTATGGTTTTAAACTACATCGCAACTGCCTCGACTCTTCCATTTAAATGGTGTATTTTAAGCATGTTCTGAAGTGTAATGTTCTTAAGGTCATAGTGCATCTACCTACCTTTTATTGGCTATGGTAATTATATTGCCTCGTCTCTCCTTCGGCCTTGCATGATCTACAATTGACAGGCTTATGCAGCTCATGATGGTCCAACAATTTTTGGGCATGCAGAAACTTCTGGAACACAATCTCTAAAGGATGCAGGTGAGGGATTCTTAACGTGGCAACATTCAGCAGGTTTTAGAAAACTGTCTACCATAGGCAGCAACTTCCGGCATCAGTGCAGACACCATTACATTCCCTCAGAGCAAGTGCGCAGGCTGTCAGTTGCTCTACTGTCTGTTGTCTTTGGAGACATTGTGCGCCAGCCAGTTCACTTTGGTTTTCCAGCTCTCTCGAAGGGCTTCATTAAATTTTAGTCTGAAGTGCTTCAGCGCCTCCTCATCTGTTTTTCCCAGTGCTAGAGAGTCCTGAAGGGAAGAGGCAGAAATGAGTGCTTGGCTTTGCTATCATTGCAGCAAAATGACCGTCTGGCAGCGCAGCCCAGCAAAATCTTTAACCACAAGGGTGCACCACCTCCTGCAGAGCATTCCCAGGGCTCACGTTTGGCAATTAGTCACCCTATCCTCTTTTCCTGATGGAGCAAAGGAAACAGGTTGTGTATGAAACAGTCATGTCAGTCAGAGCATACCCACACAGGCTGCTACCACACAGCTTTTAAGTCTGCATGTTCCTGTTGTGATACAGGTGTGATAGACATGCTCCAGTTATAACCCTGCTTTGCTCTGCTCCAAGTTAGGGTAGTTTAGCTCAGTTGGTTCACTTGTATCCTTAGAGTCCTGCAGCTGTAACAAAAAACAGCTGATGCCTGCTCCAGAACAGCAGCTCCTCCACCCCTTTTAAAGCAGGTGAAGTTATGGGCAGATGGGATGTATTGTTACACTTAATGCAGCTGGACAAGGCCAGATTTAAAGGCAGGTGAGAAACAAGAGACTTTAACAGAGAGAAAATCAAACACACCAGCCTCCTACTGGCTTGCTCCCAAAACCATTACCTCCATCCCTGCCTCTGCCTCAGTGCAGCTGTGTACAACAGCTGGCTAGAAAGCCAGCAGGGAAAGGAGCCGAGGATAGAAGTGGGTCCTACTGCCAACCATGCAAAGTGATTTACAAGAAAAGCCCACGGGGTGGTCAAGGGCTGGTTTACTTGTTTTGAGCCGCTTCAAGGCCATCTGGTGGAGGAGGATTTTCTTTTTCCTCTCCTAAAAGTCTCAGCTTATGGAGATGTTCGATGAAGAAAAACATGGACCAGCCTGAGCGCTGGTACTGCCAGACATGCTGAGCGCCGTGGAGCTGATAAAGTGACACTCGTTGCATGGGGTGATTTGGAACTGCGGAAAGCCAAGGCATTTCAGAAGCCCAGTGCCAGACTAGCTACTCCCTGCTTTTATGAAGCAAGCTGCAGAACAGGCTGCTCTTTCAGCTCCCATCCTCTCTAAAATACAAGATTACATACTGAGCCACCTCTTACCTTGAGTGCCTGCCCTGTCTGTTCCCCCCTCCCCCCCATGCCCATCCTCTCTTACCTTTAGATACTGAATGTCTTTAGAGCAGCTGAGTTCTGGCAGGCCAGCAGCTTTCATCAGTGCAAACAAATGCAGGAAGAGGAGACCGTGGCGCCTCAGGATCATGTAGGCTTTTTCACAGTAATCCCTGAATCTGCTCAGGAAGAGAAGGGGCAGCAGAGGAAGTAAGGGCAGCAGCTGGAGCGTGTTCCCAAGCCAGCCACAATAGTCTGCAAGTTGGTGTCAGCTGCTCCATCTGCTGAATTACACCTTGGTAACCAGCTGTGCACGCATGTATTTGCTGCCCTGTGTGTGGATGTGTTCTGAGGATACCTATACACAGATGTCTGCTCTGATGAGTGCTAATTAGCATATGTTGGTGCAGACTCAATTAATCGCATCTGCTGGAGTGTGTTAATTAATGTGCTCCAGCAGCCTCTACCTCACATCTATTCAACATCCCTGTGCTTCAAAATAGCAGTGGGGCACTTTATGTAAAGCTTGTTCAAACACTCTGGCTGCCATGCTGAAGCACAGGATGCTGAATACACGCGACGCTGCAGATGCTTTAACTACAGAGGCTCTGGGAGCTGCTCTAGTTAAAGTGCACCCCTCTCTGCCCTAGAGCATGTGTATAGATGTCCTGAGGGACCATCAGTGCCTCCCACTTGCTTACCTAAATATGGCACGTTGGGGAGCACTGGGAAGCACGAATGCCAGTGGCTTGAGTTCAGTCAAGGCCAGAAGGCAGCATTTGCCACTGCTCCCGTTCCAGACCCACACCTCTTGCTTTAACCCAAAGCTCCATCAAGGAAAGGCCAGGGCTGAGCGGTGTCCTCCAAATACATCCATTTAAAACCAAAAGCTCAGCAGAAGAGGGCAAACAGCTGCAGCAATAGCAGTAACATATCCTTGGGTTTGCCCGCTCAAGCAGTGCGAGGGGAGACCCCAGACCATTTCAAACACAAGCAATCACATCTTCCCTCCTTCAGGCTGAATCACCCCTGTGGTTGCAATGTAAAGGGCAGGGAATAACGCTGCATCCAAACAGCTGTGCTGCGAGGCAGGCAGCACAGGCTACAAGCAGCGTCCTTGGGGCTCAGATAGACCAGTGGCTGTTAGCCAGGAGTGCTTGCTTACCTTTCAAACTTTTCGCTGTTGTTCGTTTTCCCCTGCTGGATTACGTGCACAAAGTCATAGGTTAGGATAAAAGGGACCCGTTCTCTGTTGATACCAAATTTGGTTTTGAAGTTCCCCAAAAAATGGCCGAAATCAATATGGAACAGCTGAAATTCAAGTGGAAAAGGTCTGTTAAAGTGCAATATGACGACTCACGGGGGATAGCAACTCCTGCCTTCTCAGGATGCGTGGGTGGGTCTGAATGATCTACTCTAAATAACTGGGGCCCGATGAGTGCCTGGGATTTGTTGCCCCCTTTCAGCCAGACATTGTCTTGTGGGGAAGATGAAACTGCTTTTCCTAGGTCAGTCCCTGTGTTTATTCATCAGGTTATGAAGCAATGTGGGTGATGCTTGGGATGCAACTTATATACTGGATGGGATGGGAAGGACTTTACCTCAGCAACCCCTGCCATGCCTGGGGGACTTCTATGTTCTTCTAAAGCCTTGGCAAGACTCACTCCTGGTGGCAGAAGAACTAGAGACAGGCCAGTGGTTACTCCCAAGTGCAATGCTCTGTCCCAGGGTAGGCCTGGAAGCAGGATACCCTCTGACATGGCTACAAAACCCTGCTCTGGTTAGGTTTTCAATAGGCAAATAACCAGTGATTTCATCTCCTCCATAGTAAGGGGAACAAGAGGATTTTGCACAGGGATTGGGGCTTTTCCATGATGACAGTTCTCCAAAGCTGCGCTAACCCTGACAGCCACACCAAGCAGCTGGAGCTGTATTTTGAAGGATGCCAGCACCCCCTAGTGGAGAGGAGCAGACTGTCCCCAGCCATGCAGTGCCCTCCTTCCCTTCGCAGGGTCTTAGATCACCCTTTCACTGTCATTAAGTGCAGAGAAAACCCTCAACGTCTTCTCAGCATGTGCTTGGGAAAGAAGGCAGCCCCTTACCAACCAGGCTCTCTGCAATCTACTGACCCTTGGATGCAGGAGGAGAGGGCAGCCCCACAGCAAAGGCTTCACTAGGTCTCAATGAGGTTTCTCACGCCTGCAATAGCTGCGCTGGTTCTACCAAAGGGATTTCCCGCAGTGAGAGCCAAGAGTGGGGCCTGCAGGAAGCTACGTGAGCAGGCTCTGGCAGAGTCCATCTGCCTAGAGCGATGTGCATCTCCCCACTGTGCCTTTCAGAGCTCGTTCATACAGACTGAACATGAACTGTGGCAACCATCTCTTCCCTGGAGACAGCGGCAGTGGCCAGTGTGTGGCTTGTGGGCAAAAGGACTTTCCCTTCCCCAGTTTTGTCCTGTGTCCCCAGAGTGATGGCTGTGAAGGTTAACCCCCTCCACCCCCCCATAGGTGCCAGGGCACTTTTCTCAGGAGCAGCTACAGGATAGTCCTATCAGGTAACCCTGCTCTCTAGCATCTCTGCTGTCCCTGTAAAAAGCCTGCTGGCCTCTTGGCACAACAGGAAAGCTTCAGCATGGGAAGCCAGAGTAACCACCTGGCTCCACAGGAGCAGACACCAGAGGGGCAGCAAGGATAACACACCAGCCTGCTAAGGGTGCAGGGAAGGAGGCTCAATGTTGCATTAAGAAACTACAAATTAGGAAATGGGTCCAATGCCAGGGTGAGCTCCCAGGAGCACCTTTGCAGCCTGACCTCTCTGGGTGATGGGTAAAGGGACAGTTACTTGAGCCTCAGTGGCTCTCACACTGGCTGGTTCACAGGGCTGTGGAGAGCCATGGCCCCACTGGGCTGCTCCTGTTCCTCTTCCCCCCACCATCTGCACAGACAGCTGTGAGCGCTTGGGTCCCAGCAGCCCCACACCCATACCTGGCCAGTTTCCCGGATCATGATGTTGTCGCTGTGCCTGTCTCCTATCCCCAGGACATACGTCGCCACACAGTACCCAGCGCAGGAGAGCGTGAACTCCTCGATCGCTTGCTCCAGTGCTTCACTGAGGGAGGGAAACGATGAGAGGTCAGTCCCGCTGTAAACCTCAGGTGCTTTCCTTCTCTTCTAGTATCCCCCATGGAAACCTGCTGAGCCAGGCTTGGGGACAAGCTCAGTAGAGAAGTGTTTTTTCGCTTTATCCTCTACAGAGAGTCTCTCTCCTCTCTGCTGTCCTGTTGGAGGGGACAATTCTTTGCTTGGCCTTAACCAAATCAGGTGGCATCAGACCATTTTCCAGGTATCCAAAGCTCCAGAGGACTGGATGGCTGGTGGGGCTGGGCTCCATCCTGCCCCTCCCCTCCCCGAGACTGTCCCTATAGGTTCAGATAGAAATGCAGGGGGTCCCACACCCTTTCTCCCATAGCAAATCAAGTGTCTGAGCTTGATTGGTACAGAGCATCTGCAACTCCAAATGAAGCAGTGGACGCTGAGCTCCACACTTCTCAAGCCTCCAGTGTGGGACCAAACTTGGGAAAAAACAGCCTCTCTGTATCTCAGGGAAGGGCTGAATTGATCCTACCCCAGCACATTAGAAATTCAGGGGAGATGCCTGCAGGCGTATCAGGCTCCAAGGAGGGAATAACAGAGGTGAGAGAAGGAAGCTACAGCCCAGAGCTGCCGCCCACACCCCACTGTTGCTGGATGCTGCGGAAGTCCAAAGCAGGGCAGGGACCGGCTGAGCACTCAAGAAAGGAGGTGGCAATGGAGCCAAGCCACCGCGAGAGTCTCAGCCGGAGGCGAGCGCAGCTGGGACAGTCCCACCTACCCTGGGTTCTTGGATTTCAGCCAGTTCAGCAGCGCGTCCTTGTTGAAGGCAGCGGTGGCCGCCATGTTGCTTTTGTTCAACTGGATGTTGGCAATGGTGTCCGAGTGCATGACCACTTCGATCAGCCCCGTCTTGTCGCCTGTGGAGAGGCAGCCGTAAGGGGTCATCCTGCAGAGACGAGAGAAACCCCTTCCACTGAGACCTCGCCCGGAGTCAGCCTGGCTTTGCTTTTAGGACTTTCCTCCTCCATTTCACCAAGCAGGAACTGCAGGGGTTAGGCCTACGGGCCCAGCCTCGAGCCTTCATGCTCGGCCGCAAGGAAGCTTTGAGAGGCCTTAGTCACCTTGCCAATAGCAGGCATCATCCCGCAAGGGTGACAAATGCCCGCCAGTCCCAGTGACTCCAACAGCTGCTGAGGGCAGTTTTAAACTCGGGCCGTTGGGTGTAAAGATGTAAGAGATGCCTTCACCCAAAGGCCTGCCTACCCAGGGGCTCTGCCCCCCTTGTCTCAACCCAAAGATGATGGGGAAGCAGCAGAGGCCGGAGAAGCCACCGTGACTCAGCCAAGTGCATCAGCAGCAGAGCCGGGAGTGGAGCCCAGGACTGCTCAAGTCCTGCTCTCACCACTTGGTGACTCTGCCTCCTGCGGTACCACGTCAGGGCCAAAACCACTATGGCTACAGGAACAGACTCAGCTCAACCGTGGGCAGCTCCTCTCGAGCACGTGGAAAGTTCCCTCACCCCACTCCACTTGTCCCCACCTCCTTCCCACTCCAGACCCACAGCGGGTGCTGCCAGCTCTGCTCAACCCCAAGTCTCCCACCACCCTGCAGCTTCCTTCTCAGGGCAGTCGTATACGCAATCTCCCCTGCCAAAAAGGACTGCAGCTGGGATCTCCCAGCTCTCCCCCTCAGCCACAAGTCAGAGGCAATGTGGGACGATGGAAAGTGACTCAGCGCAGGCACCGGTGACTCAGCACCCATGACTCACCTCAGGTCCAAGCCCTCCTGCTTCCACAGCACGTCCATCAGCTGGATCATCTGTAGCGTCAGCATGTCCTGGCGGAGATCTGCTCAGGCATCACAAATGGGAGCCGGTTAGCTTTCTCCCGAGCTCCCTCCCCTTCTCCCCACAACGGGTGTGTGCATGGAGGAAGCACTTGCTGTTTTTGTCACTTGCTGCAGTGGCCATCAGGGGGTACAAGTGTCCCAACCACCTGGCAAGTTTTGGTGCCCTGCCCCTCCTCCACAGTGCTCGGCAGGGCACACATTTGCAAATCCATTTGCCATCGGCTGTGCCCAGGGCAGCCTTTGGGATGCTTCACCAGGCCCCTCTCAAAGGGGCTGAAGCCATTGAGCATTACACATTAAAAAGAGAAGGTGTTTTGGCAGTGACAAATGTAGTGGCTGCTGCTGTGAAAGGCTGGAACTACAACACGCCACAGCAATGGCAGGCTGCAGGTCATGTCCCCACTGGGCACCCTTGCTGTCGAGGCCCTGGCCTCCCTGCTCTTGTTAGCTACCCAACAACGGCAGGACGCAGAGCGCCCAGGTGGGCCTTGGACTCTGCATAAAGGGTAATGTCCTTGCTTGCCTGCTGGGGGCTGCGCTTCTGCTCAAGACTCACCGTCTCCATTTTTGAAAATGATGCCCACGCCACCGCCGCCCGTTTCCTCGTTATTAAACACAATCCACAAAGGCTTCATCTTGGAGTCCATGAATGTGCACTGCTCCACACTGAGGAAGGGGGAGAAAAACCCCTTCAGGCCCGGCCTGGTGGGACATGGGGCTGGGGGGAGCTCAAGCCCCGAATGCAGATGCCTCAAGTGCTCCCAGCACACTCGTGGTGAGCACAGAGGCCTGAGGAAAGCCAGTGGCTTTGGCTTTCCTGTTGAATAGCAACACAACCCTCCACCTTGCAGATGCAGCACCCTTCCTTACCACACTTCAGCAAGGATAATGTTAGGGTTCAGGGGAGAAAGGAGATTGGAAAGGGCCTCCAGGTAGGTCTCCTGCTTCATGCACACATGCATCATCTCCTTGGTCTGGGGCTTGGTGGCCCTCTGAGAACTCACTTTCACAAAGTCGTTCAAGGCTTTCATCTTGTTGAGTGCTTCCCCCTGGTGCGGAGACAGGGGAAAGCAGGTCAAGAAGAATCCTCCGGACAAAGATACAGATCTTGACAGTGTTCAGGGCCACAAAGAGAAGTCAAGCATTGCCTCTCAGGGCGATTCACTGCATTGCAGTGTAGTGCCTTGGCAGCATCTGCTCTAGGGCAAGCCATAGCTGGAACCGCAGGGAGTTTTGCAGGCCAGAGGTAGGTTGCATTGAGCTGGACGACTCTGTCCTGAAGGAGCAGGGAGTATTGCGGCTCCGTCTGGGGGAATGGAGTAACAGAGGGCGCTGTCAATCAGGAGTGAAGGGCTCTGGCAGGTCGGTGTAGGGACCCCAGCACTGGAATGGCAGAAGCACTGGGGATCAAAGCTGACATGCACTGGCCGGTGCTATTAACAGTCCTGTGGGTCCTTCATTTTCATCAGCACTCCTGCGTGTCCGAGCCAAACTACTTCTGAACTGCCAGCATGGACTGTACGGGGCAGCTCCATCGGGGAGCTGGGTGGCCAGGTGTTTTCTACTGGTGGAAAACTGGCAAACCCACTGCCCCAGGGTTAAAGTGTCTTCTCTCCTGCAGTATGATTTGGGGGTTCTGGTGGTGAGCAAGCTCCTCTTAGGAGCTGAAGTTACGTTCATGCCTTGAGTCACGAGAGAGGGACTCAATTTGCAATTGTATCTTGGGTTTGGCCTAGGATGAGGTCACGACCACAGGGCATTTCATGGACCTGTGCTCCTAACGGTCACAGATAACATTTTGAGCTTCTGCAGCACCTCTGGGCCAGTGACAGGGAAGTACTTTACAAATGCCCGCGTGGAGGAACTGAAACAGAGCAGCACAATCACCTGGCCCAGCTCAGACTACAAATCAAGAGCAGAGTCAGGAGCTCTGCCTACAGGAAACTGCAGTGCAACCCCTCTTGCTGACTGCTCTGTGTGTTCAGCACGGCTGCAAAGACTGCACCTTCACCTGGATCAATTTTCTAGGAAGGGGAGGGGTGGGGGGCAATGGAAACCACATGTGGCAGGGAACTCCAGGCTTTTACAAAGGCACTGAAGCCACTCCACTGAAAAGTGACTGTGCAGACTAGTGCTACGGTCAAAGCACACCCCCATGACAAGCAGCTGAGTGCAGCCCTTACCTGTTTCATTAAAACTTTCATGTGGTGGGTGCTGCCTCTGCAATAGGCCTCCAAGATCAAGCCAAACCTCAGAGCGACTGCTGGGACATGCATTTCGGACCTAGAGACAAGGAGGAGATTAAAGCTAACCTGACTCACTGCAGCTAGTGACTGCAGCTGCCGTTCAGGCCATTGCAGGACAAGTATTAATGGCTCCATTTGGATTCCTTTTATATGATGGAGGCGCAAAAAACCCCAGAGGGAACTGAAGTAAAATCCAGTGCCTGAAGCAATGAAGTTTCTTTCTGGATGACTAACTAGCTCGGCCTTACCTGCCAAGAGCACAGCCTTTTGAGCACTAGCCACTGAAGTCCCCAATTTAGGAAGTAACAGCTGATTTTGGGGACCCAGCATGAGCCCCCAACCCTCTGAGAATCAGGCCCTACAAGGCACCCCAAAAGTGAGCACCCCATTCGCTGAGATGGCTGCAGTAAGGGACAGAGGGAGGAGGATGGATCCTGTCCCAAAAAGGCAAGTTTGCATCAGGATCTCACATGGAGTCGCAGGCACCAGCTGAACCGATACGAGCCAGGTTTAAGATTAATCGCCGTGTCCACACAAAAAAAACTGATGCCACCTCCCTTCCTTCACTGAACAAGTGAATGCAGTGCTGGGTGCCCGCCAGCTCCAGGCTGTCCAGAAACTTTATAATCTGAACGGAAGAAAGGGGCCAATTTCTTGCCTTTCAGGGCAAGTTTATGGAGCTGACAATGAGAAAAAGTGAGTAAAACTGTCCAGAGCACCTTGCTGACTCAGGAATCAAAAGTTATATTGAAAATCCACTGGCCTGGAGTTCCTAAGTCCCTCAAGAAGCTTTGAACAAAGTCACCCCCTAGTTTTTTGCCCTTGCAAAAGGAGTCCACTTGATAGAGAATCAGTGAGAGAAACACCCCACAAAATAATCCCATGATGTCATTTGGTGGGTCTGACCTGCACTTGGTCAATCACCCCTTACCTGAGATGCCAGAAGAGGAAGTGCCCTATTTTGCGGTTAGATAGAGCTCTGTCCAACAGGAACTTGGTTAATTCACAGTCTAAGTAGGATTCGTACTTGAGCACCTGGACAAGCTGCAGCAGATACTGGAACAGCTCCTCATCTCTGGGGGGGGTGGGGAGGAAAGAGATCAGAGACGTCACCTTCACTGTGTCAGGCCCACACAAACATGCAGATAAGGCCCATGCATTTGCTCATGATCCTCCTCTACAATCCAGGAGCCAACAGGGGAGGGGAGGGGCCCTGCGGTTCCCCAGGGCCGGGCACTTACGTCAGCTTTTTTAAGGAGTTAATAGTGAAGAAACCAACGTAACGGTCAGGGAAGCTGAAATCCAGCAGCTCCAAGGCGTTCAGGACAGGCAGCTCTGGCCAGGTGTGGAGCAGGGAGATCATCTACAGGGACAAGAACATGGTGCTGGGTAAGGAGGCTGAGCAGGAAGGGTTGGGAGGCAGGGGCAGGGGCTAAGACACCCCAAGAGGCAGAAGTAGTGACCAGGTCCCAAGTCCAAAGCATTTTGCTTGGTGTTTTGCTTGAGTGCCTGTAAATGCCTATGGGAGGTAGGACCAATGACACAGTATCGTG